TTGAAGGGGAGAGTTATCTTAACCATAAGCCCAACCCCCATTTCCTCCTGTTGCCTCTGAGACCTGAGCTTTCCCAGCTCTGTGAGGGAAAGAAGGGCTGGCTCCTCAAGGTGATCCTGTGGGATTTCAGCTTCCTATATATACTTTTCTGTGAGTTCCCAAACCACTGTGTCATCTGCATTTTATCTTTCCAAAATTTGTTGGCACCCCTCCATTGTTGTTATTGCTCCCCATGCTATTGTTGGTGTTTTGCTTTGTATTTATATATCACTAAACGATCATTTTAGTATCTTGTGTTTTTGAGGGAGTTAAGATAAATGCACACATGCCACAGTTGGTAAAAATCCCATTTACATACTCTTCCAGACTCTTTCTGTTTAAGACTGAGTCTGTTCTTTTCATGCTAATCTACAAGTAAGCACTTATTTTTTTTCCCTTCAAATAAACAAGAAAACGTTAAAATGTTGTATTTGTCAAGATTTGTCAAAACAGTGTTGTATTAATCATGGTGGATTCTGTTCCCCTGTCTCATTATCTCCTCCTACTTTGAGAACAATTCTCACTTGTAAAATTATATGACCTCTTAGTTAAAGTCTCTGCAACACTGTGGATACTCAAGAAATATTTGTTGAATGTATGAATACACTGTAGAAAAGTTGCATATTGTTGAAGTCCTTACTCATTCTCAGGTTAATTCTCCAGTATTTTATTAAACTGATATTTGAATGTATGTCTCCTATGGATAAGATGCTATGGAATATACAGTAATGCTTTAGAAATAGTTCCTTATCTCAAGACACTTACAGTATATTAATACAGAAAAAAATACATAAAAAGAGAAAGACTGCTCAAGTAACTTGGGTGTTCAGAGAAGTGAGGAATTTTCATGGCAAGGAAAATCAGGATTTCTTTATGAAAATGGTGGTGTTTGAGATAGGCCTTAATGAGCTGCTAGGGTTTAGTATGAGAAATGGGAATGAAGTCATTCTAAATGAGTTGACTAGTAAGTGAGGAAATGAATGGACAGGAAAATGTGTTAGTTGATCTATGTTGGTTTAGCTGGAGCGAAATCAAAGAGGGGAAGAGGTGAATCAAAGAGGAACATGGAAGATAAACTTGGGATGAATTTGTGACAGATGTGGTTGACCATGGACTGTAGGGAAGAATGTGGGTGTTTTTCCTTAGGAGGACACAAAAAGTTAATAACAGATTGAAGTAATCAGGCATTTTCTTTAGTTACATTATTTTAAAGGACTTGAAAATTGATTGAATGCTTATAGGAAGAGATACACCTGATATTACTCTAAGATTTGTGCCTCTGTTTTGTAAGGACATAGGTTCCATGTCCAGACATAGAAGGAGAAGATAATTTGGAAGTAAGATAACAGCAATTTTAGATATATTACACTTAGAGTGAATTTTAGGTGGAAATGTACAGCAAGCATAGAAACTGTGAAACTAGAGCTTCAGAAAAATGGGTTAAAATGAAAGACCTGACCAAAGTTGCATTGAACATTTAGTATTTAATATGGTAACATCCATTTTAGAATCACTTTTATTTATTATTGCAAGGCTCTTGATTTAAAAACAAATGCACTGAAGCTTTTTAATTTCTTTTCCATGTTGAATAAATCATTGTACAATGACATCATTTTTACATTTAGTTCTCAAATGAAAGATGATTGTGTAATATCTATTTATATTTTTGTGGGACTGTTATAAAATCCTAAGTCATTTGAGCACATTAAGAACTCAATGCTATATTGAACAAAAATTTGAAAGAAAAAGTTTTCTTTCTTCAGGGTATAAAAATACACATTCCTCCAGATCTGTTGTTACAAATTCTATCACTTTATTTTCTTATCCTTAAACTAGGTGATGTGTATTCTGGTACATATATTATGGCCAACATGAGACAAGCACTATTCTCTTCACCTAGGAAAGTTAAGTGAGACTAAAATAAGCTCAGAAATTAAATTAAACTCTAAGAACATTTAAAATGATAAACATTACAAAGGCTAACAATAAGTTAAAAAAAACAGATGTGTATGAAGTGAGTTCTCATTTTCTCTATGATTTTACTTCCCAGAAGTTAATATTCCTAATAATTATATTATGTGTTCTCAACTTATTTCTATGTGTAAAAAAATATTTATATCAGGTTTTATTTTAATAATGTGCACTTAACTGCATTTATTATCCTGCACCTTTTTAACTGAAAGATTGTCATAAACATATTTACTTGTTAATGTTCTAGGAGAAACAAAATAACCAGAGATATCAATACTCTCTTATTTCTTCCCTTTGGGAAATTTTCTAAAAACTGTTAAAAAGATAGTGAGAAAACATTAAAGGATTGCTATGCTGTATTTTAAGCCATATTAGTGAATCTGAACATCATTTGTGCAAAGCTACTAATATGTGGTTCTAAGCTCTTTATTATCATTTCAAACCATTCGGGCATTCTTTGTCATTCTAGGCAGTATGATTGAGCAAAGACTATGCTAAATTCTGTCTTCTTAATTCCTGCCAGTTGGAGGAAGTATCAGTAATTTATAAAGGCATCATGCCCAAGATTTCAAGAGAAACAATGTTGTGTTTTATCTATCGAAAACTAGATCAGCCTGGATAGCTACCCTGACACTTCTGGCCAACTCTTACAAGAGGCAGGTTTATAGGCCTCTACTAGGCCTGAGGGGATGTTAAAAATTGTATGTGATGATCTTTTACAATGTCTTCATTGAAACAATAGAATAGAGATATGAATATTTTGCAAAATACATGCTTTCCTTTAGAATATATAGTGAGATTAAATAAAGCCAGATGCCAGATGCCAGATGCACACGCAGACATGCCAAGACTAACCTTTTTATTCCCTTTTCTCTTACCTTCTTGGCTTAGATTTTTTTTTTTATATATATAACCTAAGATTTAATTCACAATGAGAGAAACATCAAGCGACATGTGGACAATCAGATCGGCAGGTTGGAACTCTTGCGATTCTTCCTTTCTGCAGGCTACAATTTTTACTGCATAGAGGCTCTGGACAGCGTTAAGAAGTATGAAGTAAAAATAGTGGGTGGTTTTTGAAGATCCCATCATCTATTTGGAGATTTGCTAATGGCACACCTGATTGTTCTCAGAGTTTTTAAAATCCAGAGTGTAAATGAAACAAATAGTAGAGTCACAATTATGAATAATATTTTAATTGCCTAAGTGATACTTAAATATCATTTTAATAAGATTTTGATTTATTTTGCTATTTTATACTACTCTTAGCAGTAATAATTGTACTAGAAACACTGATTGCAGAATAGTTTGGAAATTCTGTGTCACATTTTTTTCCCAGTCCTAAACATATCTTAGATCATGTGCTTTGTAGTTTATTTATGATTTTTCATGAACAAATGATTAGCATCTACCTTTTTATTTAGTGGGTTTCACTGATTTCTACCTTTTTTCTTGACTGATGAATAGTTTACATATCTTCATGGCATTTCGTCTTCCTTTACTTTCAGCCATTATAGCATCCCCATGTGAACTACATTAATGGGTCAACACAGTGAGCTCAAGGATCTTAGATTTGCTTTAATGGAGTCCATTGTCCATCACAGGACCCTCAAAATCACTACCATTTTCTTTTACCTGTGCTTTAACTTTAAGCCCATATTTCCATTTCCCCTTAATTCATATTGTTCTACATTGTTTCTAAGAGTCCTCAACAAATACTGTTTTCTCTCCTACTCCATTTGATTTTGCATGCAACCCTTACCCATTTTACATGTCTTTGCTTTAGTGGAGACAGTGACTTGCCATAGTCAGGAACTGGGAAGTCGAATAGACCTGGCTTGTCTTTTTACTCATATGATCTTGGGCAAGTTAATAGTCTTAAGTCTCAGTTGCTGAGTTTCCTTAATAGAAAAGACAGCTCTCCAAGGTTTTTGTGAGATGTTTGAAATGAAGCCTTTGGCGCTGCTGTTGGGACAAGGTACTCAAAGAAAGCTTGGTAGTCACAGGCAGATGATCCTTTTTCCATACTCTTCAGCTAGAGGTATTTTCCGAATTCAGAATTTCATGGGTTTTAAAAGGTTTGTATATCCCATATATTATATAAGGTCTCTAGCAGGGTATGAGGGAACTTTCTTAAACAAATTGGTATTTCTGAAGGAAAATACATTTTTATACAGAAGTATTAGCCTCCCATCCTTACCCTTCCATCAATTCAGGTCAGACAGTGCCACCAAATGAGTTATGAGAAAACTTATTTTTCAGTATGTGTGTATTTTGGAATTATGGGTAAGAGGTTGGATTTCTGGAAAATAAAAGATTTTATATGTTTTTATTGTGAACTAAAAATTATCCCCTCAATTTTACTATGTGGCTGTTTTCTGCATTTCCTAAGGTGGGGCCATAGATATTTTTTCTTCCCCCAAGTACCACAACTCACTCCCTGCCCCAGACACCCTTGCCATTTCATCCTGCATTTCTCTGAGACCAGGGGACGGAGTGAACGAGAACTCTTTCAGGAGATGTTTCTTTGTTGGATGTGGAAAACTCTGGTCACATTGAGAATTACTTTTTTTTTCTCCCCATAATTTGTTAGGATGTGAAGTGCGTAATATCTGGAAGGAAAAACACACTGAAAGAATTAGGCTCCATTTCTTCCTCTGTTAAAAGTTGTGTCCTCTTAAATATTTTAACTCAAAAGATATGCAAGCAAGGCTTATTAGGTGTATGTAGTATACTAGCAGTTTTAGACTGTGTAATACATTGTTTTATATAAATGCTTATGGGTTTTTAGAGAATGTCTATTATCTTATTGATTGGTTGACACTGCTTTTTCTTCCACTTAAGACCTATTCAGTTTTTTAGTTTTTTCCTTCTTATTTTCCATTGATTTGGAGGGATTTGCTATGAGAATGAAAACTAATTGAATGGTTGTCTGGTAATATGTAATTATTATTCAGAATTGATTCCAGTATTTATTTATTGTTTTTTAGTGTCCTACTGAAACCAAAGCAACATTTGGGGTCCATCTTAAAATAGTAGGCGATTGGACAGGTATGTAGAACATGGAGTTTTAAATACATAGAGTGAAAATAATGGGTCATAAAATAATTTGAATATGTTTAATAGTAGAACTACTCACATGTATAGAAATGTGTATATATTCTCGAGTTATTATTTTGTTTTATTTCTTTGTACAGTTTGACATCAATGTTTTCTTCTTTTAAGATGCATTTTTGATATATTTACAAAGACCAGATGGTTCTCTATATTATGCTATGTAACCTGCTTTTTATATTTTATAGTATATTATCAAAGAATTTCCATGCCAATAGTATATATTTATTGTATTATTTTAAATATTTACATGTAACCCCATTATGTAGATTCCTAGCCATTGGTTAACTAATATATATTCTACTGTATTTAACCATTAAAAAAAAAGATGCATTTTTAGAATTCAAATACCTTGGATATCAAGAATTGTTTACAATGTGCTTGCAAGTTGTAGGTTTCTGTCTACTTGTCAGATGTACTGGCATAGTGGGAAAACCAAAATACGCTTTTTAGAATACATGATTTTTAAATTAGTGGTTGGTTTTACTGTCAAAGTAATTGACACCTGGAATTGAGATCTTACAAAATCCTTGAGTTCTTTCATGACCTATCATGCAGTTATTACCTGTATACATAGCAAATCTACAACATCTTTTGAATGGTGGTCCATTTTAATAACAGGTCTATTGCTAATATTTCACTTATTTATTCAATAAATATTTTTTAATTATTTGAGCGATGCATTAAGAGCTCTGAGTAAATAAAAGAAACATTACTCAGTTTTATATTCCCTTGACATAACAAATATTATTAAGCTTTTTGGCCAGTTGTTTAGGTTCATTACTCAAAGGAAAGGATTCAAGTATAAATATGAATGCAAATGTAAATAAAAATATATTTTAACTTAGTACCAAAGTAACAGTTGGTTTGTGAAAACTATAGGGAACCAGAAAAAAGGAGATTCAATGTAATCTAGGGCTATAAGGGAGGCTTCATAGAGAAGAAAGAATTTGGGATGAATCTTGAAAATCAGGCAGATGATTAAGTGAAATTCATATCACTGTCAAAAACTATGGAAGGTAACAATTATACCACATTTGAGAAAGGGGTGTCAGTCAACCTAGCAAAAGCAGAGATTTTGTTCTGGGGAGTAGTATGGAAAGGCCATTTAGTTTCATCTTGATGGAGATCTTGAATGCCTTGACAAGGTATTGGAGTAACTTAGAGATATTAAGGAACATTCTAAAGATTTAGAACATCATAATGAAAACAGTGCTGATAACTTGCTAGTTGGATGGTTAGAGTCAAGGAAAGAGTTGTTAGTACAGGAATGCAGAGGAGTCAGTAGAGGACTGGAGATGGAAACTGAGCACTAGAAGGACTGGATCTGCAAGGACAGGTCGAGAAGGTGGCATTGGAAAAGGGGAATGAATTTCTGTAAAAACCAGGACAGGACAAGATATTGTGTAATAAGAAAGGAATATTTTAGGAACAAGGAGAGTTGAAAGAGCTTGTATCAAACAGTTCAAAAATTTTTTATCTATAGAAAGGGCGGTCAGCTTAGAATTGAGATTCAAAGAAAATGGAGAAAATATTCAACATAGGATTTAATGGGCCAACAATGAAATTAATCAAAAGATCTGTGAGCAGTAATGACCTATTTGGAATCATGAAGTTCAGGCTTAAATAGGTATTGTTCATCTGATAGCATTCAAAAGAGATGGTCATAGTCCATTGTTAGAAAAACACTGGTGTAGTATGAAAATAGTAATTTTCACAATAAGCCCACAACTAGTTGATATAATCACAATCATTATGGACTGTCTGGCAAATAAAGAATGGATGAAGTTCTTCTCTGGGTAAGAATCCCCATATAGTAAGAATTAACTTTAGTAATGAATGGTAGTTGATAGAATTCTGTATCAGAAGGAAAACAAGCACAACGAAGATATAATTTAATTCATCAGGGTAAGCAGAAACTTTGTGATGGACTATTACTAGCTATTGTAGCTGAGTTTCTTCATAAAGTTGTTTTCTATTGTCAGGAGCTCATTAAAATAAATAATTATCTCATTGTTTATTTCAGTCTTCTCTATTAGAAACACTTAATAGTTTTACTTTTATCCTACTTTTTATCTACTATGCCACTGAGGGAGAAACAAGATCCATTCTATTCAAAGACTTCAATTCTAGTTAGATGCTTTTCAATTAATAGACCTTCCTGGTTGTTGACTTTAAATATTTGTGAATTTGGAAAAAGCATTCATGAATAAAACCCCTAAATAATTCTTTTACTGTAGTTCCAAAAAAGATTTAGCTGTCTTAAAACAATGAAATTACAATTATAGAAGGAAAACAGGAATATTACTCCTGAGATCTAGGATCATTGGTTTTTGTCTGAGAGAACTGATTAGAACTCAGTATTTAAGAGCAGTAAGTGTAGGAAATATGTAAGAGGTGCTTAAAAAGTTGAATATTGGAGGCTTACTTTTTTTTGTAAACTGACTTAGAGATATTTTACAGTTACTTTTTCTTCCCTGATCTATGCTCTGTCTGGGCAAGTCTAAAGAACAGGTTTAAGACTGCCCCGTAGATGATCTTCCCAAGGCTACACCCAGTTAGAGATTACCCAAGAAGCAATTGAAGCAGCTATAAAGGACAGGTTAAGGAGGCATCAAAGTTTCATATTTGTTGTCCAGTTTTTTATTTTAACCAGGCCTCTAGTTACATCTCATAAGTGTGTGAAGGACTCTTTAAATTCAGAAGATTCTTCAGACCTCTTAAACACAATTCAAGTTTTTTTTCTTAAAATGATAATGGTGAAGGGGGTAGATTCAATTACCAAATAGATTTCTCTTTGAATTGAGTTAATATTTTGTTGCTCTTCTAGAATCAGTTATGCTTCTAGAATTTCAAATATATGGTCTCCTATTGCCTATTGGCTTGATTTTCATTCTAACTGTTCAAAAAGTTTTGTTATTATCTGTATTAGATATCGTTACTATTGAGTATTGTCTGAGATAATGTTACATCATTGGTTATTGTAGTGGTCTCAGTAGCAGCTTACATAATATCCTCATGTAATTAATCTAAAAATGTTAGCATTTTTCCATTCAATAATCAATGATTGAAAATTGGATAAACATGCAACAAAAGCTCATTGTATATATCACATAATAGCTTTTCCTTGAATCTTGGGTATCAATTTCCATGTTGTGTAGTGGAAAATCTTGCTACAATCAGAAGATATGGTTCACTTAAAGGATTAAAAATAGGAAGACAAGGCTATATAATACCATGGATTTGTCTTGGTCATGTAATACATTGATACTCACAATGCAAGATCTTAGAGCTTTTGCTGAAGACTAGGCCAAAAAAGAGCCAATACCTCTGTGTGTGTGTCTCTATATCACTGGATTAGCCGGGTGTGTTTTATACTTCATACAGCTGATTTTTTTTAGAAGATCAAAACAGAATGTGTGTAATGTATTTCAAGTTGTTTGGTTTTGGTTTCGTTCTTTTTTCATTTTGGGGAGCTCCTTGTAAGTCTGATTATGACTACACTAAATTATAATGTTATTATTTTATAATTATACCATGTTTTGGAACAATTCTGGCATCCACCTTACATTATTTGTATCATGAATGGCTTCTAGTTGCTGCAAAACAAACAAACAAAAGTATTCCTACTGAATACTGAGCCCGTTTTGAAGGACATGGCAAAAGAGGAAATCCAAAATAAGCTTGAGCATACTGATTTCTTTGAACACCACAAATCATATTTGGATATATGAAATATCATGGGGGTTTTGTATAACTCATGTTCACACAGAGTAAGCTTTCATCTAAGCCCATAATAAAGATGAATCATTAATTACTATGTCTACAAAGGAGTTACTAGAAATACTTTCTGTTGTTGTTACTGCTATGACTAGCAAATTGCAATGGTGGTCATTTGTGGAAGATAATGTTTAAACTATTTGTTCATTTGGCTAATAATTAAATATTTATTCAACACTGTGTGCCAGTCACTGCACTAGTCTCTGGAGATGCAGTATTGACCAAAACAGACAAGGTCCCTGCTCTCCTAAGACAGATTGTGTTCTAGACAGTAGAGACCTCCAATACACAACAAAGCAGAGCAGCGTGTAATGTGGTAGGTAGTGATGAGCAATCAAGAACAGCAGGGAGTGAGGGTGGTAGCACTATTCTAGAAAGTGTGTTTAGGTATGAGTTTTCTGAGCAGGTAATGCTTAGATGAGGGAGTAAGCCAAGTGGATTCAGGAAGAAATGTCATTGAGGAAACAAAGTGCAAAGTCCCTGAGGTGGGACTAAGTCTGGATATTCAAGGAGCAGGAAGGAGGCCAGCGGGCTGGAGTAGTGACTGTGAGAGGGAGAGTGGTAGGACCCGAGACGGGAGAGATGAGCGGGGACGGGACATGCTAGGCTGCGAGAGGACTTGGGTTCTAATGTGACTGAGATAAAAAGGCACGGCTCTGAAGTCCATATTTGAATGATTATCCATTTTGTACTAATAGCTACACTCCTGTGTTTGGGAGGTTATTGTTTTTTTTTAAAGACTGAGTTTAAGGAGAAAGGGGTAAGAGTTCTGAGCATTGTAGAAAACAAGTGATGAAGCTTTTTTCACTGGAGGGGGATCTCTCATCACTTTAGAGATGCTTCAGCAGTGGTTCTATTCCCTGCCACACGGCCTTGATTTATAGGTTCTGCTGGCCTCACCTGCACCCTCTGTCCCCCCAGCCTAGGGATGTATGACTTTCCTGCTCCTTTCTGGATTTTCTCGCTATCTTCTAACTGGCTTCTCAGTTCTTTCCTTACATGAGTCACTAGTTCCCTGCATTAAATTCCTTCCATTTAAATGATGTACAATCCTTTCCTGGTTTTGGCTGACTTGGACTATTATAGGAGGTCGACAAAGTCTCTCGGAACAGAGCATGGAATCCAAAGGAGTGGTCTGTGGGGGAGACGACAGGAAC